TAATAAATTAATTTTTTTTTAACAACAATGTCGGATGTGAATTGTTATGGTTTATCTTGTGAAGAAAAAAAAAAAAACTTAAAAAATTAGAAAAGTTAAAAACGTATCTTTTTAAAACCTACAACTTTAAATTTAAATAACTTCGCCATTGTTTTTTCTAAATAACTCTTGAAATAATGAATGATTGCGTTATTAATTTTGTGTATTGTTAAAAAAAAAAAAAAAAAAAAACTTCCATTAATTTTTTTTATTGAATATTGTTAAATAATCATTCATTTTGATCTCAAAACCTATTTAAATGTGGCGTAAAAAAATCATCCATTAGTATTGAAAATATTTTTCTGGCAGCCACAACGCAAAAAAAATATTATTATTAAAATTTTCAAAATCGAAAAATTATTCATAGGCAAAAAATAAATGATTAACATAAGTTTTTTTTTTTTTTTTTACTTATGGAAAAACTTAAAGTATCATAAAAAATCAAGTTTTGTGTTTTACACTTTCCCTTGGCCTTTGAGACCTTTAAAAATTCTCAAGCAATAAAAAATTTCAAAATATTGATTCACCATATATCGTGATGAATCTTTTAATGACACCATACAATCGGCTTTAAAATTAAATCCGCCATTATTATTATTATTACAAATTTATATAATACAAAAATGCAAATATTTTTTTATTTAACCCTAAACTGGCAAAGAAACCAATTACATTCTACAAAAAAAAAAATTCTACATGCGTAGGTACCTCTTGGCTATTGTGACCCAGAATCTTGACTCGCCCAGATTTTTACCATCTTTGAATTTTTTATTAAATCACATTTTCATTTCCTCATTCATATTTTTTTCTTTTTTTTTTTTTTTTACTAATGTCAATTTATAAACGTGTAAAAATAATTTTTTTTTTTTTAAAACCATTTTCATTAAATAAAAACCACTGATTGCATAAAATATTTTTATTAATTATTTTGTTAAACAAAAAATCTACAAATTTTAATTTTTTTTTATAGCTAAATAAAATATATTTATAATATATATTATTAAATATTTTTTGTTTTTAGGATGGGAAATCAGAGGACTATATTGTTACAAATTTTTCACTGTGAGGCATTCTTGGGAGAAGGCGGCCGAATTATGCAGAAGGTAAGTACTTTTACGGTTTTTTTAATAATTAAAATTCTATAGCGAATATTCTAGATTCATTAATAGGTGTATCATGTTTTTAGTAAAACATACCAAATCACTTAAATTTAAATTAAAAATTCTAAACAGTTATATACCCGTGCCATGATTTTTTTATTTACTTGGAAATTTATTTGAAGAGGGCTGTTGACCTTGTCTTTTAAAATTTGTCAAAATATTATATGTTAATATCTTAATTAAAATTTTTATTTTCAATTTATTAAAATAATTTTAAATTTTTTATATATATATATAATTTACATTTCAAATTAAGGATCATTTTTCAGTTCAAAAATATTAATATTAGGCAATATATTTAATGAATACCCATGAAAATCATATAAGTTTTTCTAATTCTTTTTAATTTTCAACATATTATCTGTCACTTAAATTTATTTTAATTTAAATAATTTTTTATTAAACATTCAAAAATCTTTCTTTTGTAATGGAAGAAGTTAAAACACAAAATTTTTATGCCAAAATATTTATATTAATTTTTCATTTTCTGCCATTTTTTTTCCTTATCCAGTAATACTTATTCTGGATATGATAAATCAATAATTTTTATGATGAGAATTATAATAAATTATGCATTCACTTGTGTGAAAAAAATAAGCACATATAAAAAAAGATAAAAACTGCTTATTTTATTTTTTTTTGTTTAAATATTATTTATTTTTTAAAAAAATTATAATCATATTCATTAGTTTTAAATATAATGTAATATCACACTACATTTACATACATTAAATAATATGTTTAAATGTTCTATCATCAGAAATGCACTGTAATCACCATTTTACGCAATTACTTAAAAATTATATATGATCTGCGATGAAAATTTTTTCATTTAGAAAGTAAATATAAATCATACTGCAATTAAAGAGATATTTAACAATTTTAATAGATTTTAATTCAAAAGGTATAAATTATTTATAAAGAACTGTTTGAAATATGTTAACTTCTGATTGTGGCAAAATCTGAATGAACACAGGGTCTTTAACCTTTATAATTATATACACAACTATCTAACTGTCCTAAAAAAATGCAAAAATGTTTGCTTGTTCCAATGGTCAGGAAGTATTTTTTATGGTATTGCCCTTTAAGGTCTCCGTTAGAGACTCTTATTTGAAAATTAAATATATACCTATACCTATAATGTTATAATAAAATAATGATCTGAATTAATGAATCGTTAAGGTTTTCAACAAAGTGAGTGCATCATAATTTAATTGAAGTCGTGTCAATAGAATGACTAATATTATAATACTTTAATAACTTGATGTATTTTGCATATCGATGAAAACATAAAACCATAGTTTGCGGTTTAAAGTTTGAAATTATTATTTAAAATATATAACGTTAATTAAAATGCTACTCACCAACAATTTTTTTTTTATACGGTAAATTCGTCTTAAACGAATTTATTTTATTTTTTTACCATGAGTTAAAGTAGTTTATTAATGATTATTTTTTCTGTTTTTTATAATAAAGAATAAAAAAAGTTTAACGGATTAGTAATTCTTTTAATAATATTAGTAATCGGTCATTATGTGCTTTTTAGCATTATTGAAATACATTGTAAATAAGATTACTTATGTAAAAAATGACATTTTTTTTATTTCTAAGGTAGAAATAAAAGTCTGCCCTGTTGATCATAAAAATAATTTATAACTTACATTCTTACATTATTAACTTTTATTTATAATAATTACAAAAGCGAATGTTTTAAGATTTTTATTATTATTATTATTCAAAAATTCTTTGGTGGGATTTCGAAAAATTTCCCAATACCAAAACTGTATGAATTTTAATAACTTTTTGCTCTGATTCTAATTTAATTTTTTTCTTTTTTTTTAGATATGGAAGTGAATTAGTTTTGGTGGAATCATTTTTAGAAAATAATTTCACGGCAAAATTAGCCGCCAAAGTATTCAATCCCGCCGAAACTCCCAACGAGCAGTACTGGTTAGGGCTGACAACATTGGATGATTTAAGAACAAATACGTTAGAATCAGCCGGAGGTTTGGTTGTCTCTCAATATGCAGGTAAGAAAACTTTTATTTATAATTATTTCTTCTAATTGTTGTCAAAAGTATCAAAATATTAATAAAAAAAAAAAAGTTTTTGTTTATTTTAAGCAAAGAGTGAAAATTTATTATAAAATTTAGAATTTAAATCATTTATATTCTTAAGCGTATATTTAAATATATACATATCTATGATACAGGTTAATATTCTGTTATACTTACATTTCCGTCGTGGCAGAAACAATTAAAGAGGCAATTATATTTTCAGTACTTCGAATTTGCTACTTAAAAATTAAATTTTTTTAGGTTTTTGGTCTTTAAATCAACCTAATCCTTCAAACGGTGAATGTGTGGAAGTTGCTGTTAGAGATGAGTATCAGTCTTGGCAACTAACAACCTGTGAATCACTTCTCCCTTTTCTTTGCCGATCAAACGCTTGCCCTGAAGGTAAGAAGAGTACCTTTTTTTTAATTGTAGTATTGTTTTAACGGAATAGGGACAAATTACGTTAAAAAAGTTATCTTATCAATATTTCATAAAGATAATAATACTATAAATGTTATTATATAATGTCAAATTTTCAGGATCTTTTCATTGCTCAAATGGCAAATGTATCAACTCTGCATTTAAGTGTGACAAACAAGATGACTGTGGAGATGAATCAGATGAACTGGACTGCCCTGGAAATTGCCAATACTACATGGCAAGCAGTGGAGATGTTGTGGAGAGTCCAAATTATCCCCATAAATATAATCCTCTGGCTAACTGTAAGTGGACTTTGGAAGGTCCACAAGGACACAATATTTTACTACAGGTTCGATTTCTGTTTTTAAGTAGTTTATCATAAAATATTTTCAAATTTTATTTTTGTTCTCAAAATAAAAAAATAAAAGTTGCTTAATCGAAACCAACTTTTTTTCTCTCTAAAAATAAAGATAATTCTTTAAAAGTAATTTTTTATTTTAAAATTAAAAAATATTGTTTTAATTGTTACAGTTTCAAGAATTCGAAACTGAAAAGTCCTTCGACACTGTTCAAATCTTGGTAGGAGGAAGAACTGAAGAAAAAGCTGTTAATTTAGCTGCTCTATCTGGAAAATTGGATCTTGGAAATAAATTATTTTTATCTGCATCAAATTTTATGATAATAAAATTTAGTACTGATGGATCTGTTGAAAGGAAAGGATTTAGGTAATTTTTTTTTTTTACTAAGATTTGGTATTTCATTTGAAATACTATTTTCTTTTTTTTCCAATATTATTATTTTTTTTTTTTTTTTTTTTTGGTAAATCTGTAGAGCATCTTGGAAAACTGAGCCTCAATCATGTGGAGGTATACTACATGCAACTTCTCAAGGTCAATACTTAACTTCACCAGCATATCCTCAAAATTATCCTGGAGGTTTGGAGTGTTTATATATAATACAAGCTGAAACGGGAAAAATAATTACTTTTGACATAGAGGATTTAGAGTTGGATTCAGCTAAAGACTACATTTTAATTAGAAATGGAAATTCTCCAGACAGTCCAGAAATAGCAAGACTTACTGGAAATCTTAATCAAAATGATAAAATTATAATGTCCACCTCAAATCAAGTGTATTTGTTTTTTAAAACAAACCTTGGAGATTCTAAAAGAGGATTTAAAATAAAATATTCTCAGGGTAAATTTACAATTTTATGTGTTAAATTTTGAGTCAAACTAACATTTCTTTACATTATAAAAATTTTCACTAACTGCTTTAAACATATATTTTGCTATGAGTTAAAATTATTGATAAACAATAAAATATAAATTTTTATATGGATTTTTTTTTTTATTAAGGGTGTCAGGCAAGTATTACTGCTTTGAATGGTACATTCACTTCTCCTGCATTTGGACTAAGTCAGTATCCTAGCAATCAAGACTGCATATATAAAATAAGAAATCCGAGATCTGGTCCATTTTCACTGAAATTTGAAAATTTTGATGTTCATGAAACAGATTTTGTGCAAGTAAGTAAACTTATTAAACAATAAAATTATTGTTAAAATTTTTTAAAAGTTTTATATATGTGTAATAATTATTTTAAAATGCCTACTTAGCTTAAAGTAATTTTTTAACATTTTTAATTAATTTTACTTAAATATTTTACTTAAGGTATATGATGGAGCTAGTACTAGTGGTTTAAGACTGCATCCTGGTAATGGTTTTACAAATAGCGCCGTACCAAGAATCACTCTTACTTCTTCCAGTGGCGAAATGTTGGTTAGGTTTCAAACTAACGCCCTTCACAACGACAAAGGATGGAAAGCTATTTTCTCTGCAGGTAATTTACAGATTTCTTTGATACCAACGTTTATTTCTTGAGAAATAGCTCAAAAAACATATAATTTTTAAATTACGAAAAATTTAGTTTAATTTAAAAAATTTTTTAAAACCAAGTATTACCGTTTAAGAATATTCATCTTAGATTAAAAGATTTTTTCATTAGTTTTAGGTTTTCAAATTTTATTGTATTATTTTAGGTTTTTTCAATTTTTAAAAATAATTTTTTGATGGTATTTCTGATTACGGAATTTGAAAAAAAAAAAAAAAATTTTATTTTCAACTAAACTTTAGGTTAGTAATATTTTAGTTAAAACAATATTGTAATTTAATTTGTAGATTGTCCTAGTTTAAAACCAGGAGAGGGAGCAATAGCTTCTAGTCGAGATACTGGTTTTGGCACTGTTGTAACTTTTAACTGTCCTGTCGGGCAAGAATTTGCCACAGGCCGTTCAAGAATAACATCAGAATGTCTTAAAGGTGGAAACTGGTCCGTTACATACATTCCTAAATGCCAAGGTAATTTAAAATTATATTATATATATATATAATTACTATTACGTAAACAATATTTCTGAGGAAACTAAAACTATGTAAATATATTAGAGGTTTACTGTGGTCCGGTTCCACAAATAGACAATGGATTTTCTATTGGATCTTCAAATGTTACATATAGAGGTCAAGCCATGTATCAGTGTTATGCTGGATTTGCTTTTCCATCTGGACAACCAATTGAAAAAGTTTCTTGTCTGTCGGATGGAAGATGGGAAAGATTACCAACTTGTTTGGGTAAACATTAATTGATTATTTTTATATGAATATTGTTTAAGAAAGGTGTATGAATTTTTTTGAAATATTTTTTTTTTTTTTTTTAAAGCCTCACAATGTCCACCACTGCCAGAAACGCCACACGCCAATCAAACTATCTTAAACGGCGGTGGTAGAACTTATGGTACCATAGTTCGAATAGAATGTGAACCAGGTTACATTCGTACCGGCCATCCTGTTTTGTTGTGTATGAGTAACGGTTCTTGGTCTCAAAATGTTCCAACATGTTCTCGTAAGTTTTTAGAAACTAACTGATAGATTTTTCTTTACGAAAATATTAGCATATGTATAAATTAAATATTTAATATTTATTTTTATAGGAGCACAGTGTTCGCAATATCCTATCATTAAAAATGGATTTTTGACCGACTTATCAAAGGATTATTATTACGGAGATGAAGGTAGAATTCAATGTCATCGGGGTTACAAACTCACGGGACCGAATATAGTTCGTTGTGGAGCAAACCAAGAATTTTCAAATGTTCCTAAATGCGAAGGTAAAATAAAATTTTTATTGCAATATAAAAAATATTCAAGTTTAAATTATTAAATTTTTTTTTTTTTTTCTTTAGATATTAACGAATGCAGTGCGAGCCAGTGTGATTTAGCTTCTACGGAATGTATAAACACTTCAGGAGGATTTCATTGCAAATGTAAGAAAGGTTTTGCGCCTAATTACGAATGCAGACCTGTCGGTGATTTGGGACTCACTAATGGTGGTATTCCTGATGAATCTATAACAGTTTCAAACTCGGAAAATGGACATAGCAAAGAGGTAGAATAAATTTTCAAATATTTGCATTTAACTTAAAATTTTTCTTTTTACTCATTTAATTGAATGAATTTTTCTCGAATAGATGATAAGGTTAAATAATGCTCGTGGATGGTGTGGAAGTAATGTTGAACCTGGTAACAACTGGGTACAATTAGATTTAAAAGCTCCAACTATCATTCGAGGTTTCAGAACTCAGAGTGTAACAAGAGCCGATGGACATTTAGCATTTACCTCAGCTATTCGAATTCAATATACCAACAATTTAACAGATATCTTCCGAGATTATACAAATCCGGACGGCACTCCTGTTGAATTTAGAATTTTAGAACCAACATTATCGGTTTTGAATCTTCCTGTGCCCATTGAAGCACAATATATAAAATTTAAAATTCAGGATTATATCGGAGCTCCGTGTTTGCGTCTTGAAGTTATGGGTTGTACACGCTTAGAGTGTAGTGATATTAATGAATGTGCAATTAATAATGGAGGTTGTGATCAAAAATGCATTAACAGGTATTTACATTTTTTTATGTAAAAGAAAAACTTATTAACTTTTTTCTTTTCAAATTAACTTTCAATTTTTAAATATTTTCAGCCCCGGAAACTTTACATGTTCTTGTAATATAGGATTTGAATTATTTGTTTCAAACGGAACTGCCGGATTTAATATAGAGGCTTCGGAAACAGGTGAAAGAGATGGTGATATTTATCAGAGAAACAAATCTTGTGTACCTGTAATGTGTCCCAAACTTTATGCCCCAGATAACGGAGCCATTCTTACAACTAAGGTTCGTAATTTTAAATGCCTACTTGATTTTTAACCATTATACAAGTACATTTTTAAAATTTAATCATTTACAGGATCAGTTTCATTTCGGTGATTTGGTTAGTTTTCAATGTGATTTTGGTTATATAATGTCCGGGTCAGCCTCTTTACTCTGTACTTCTGGAGGTATTTGGAATGGAACAGTCCCAGAATGTCAATGTAAAAATTTTTCTCTTTATTAAATTTTTTCAAATATTTTTAATAGATTTTTGTGGTTTTCGTAATTAATTTGTTTTTCTAATGATATGTAAATTTTACTTACAGATGCCGTTTGTGTTTCTTTGCCTGATGATAAAAATGAAGGTTTAGTAGTGTCAAAACCAGATTTAGAAAGTGTTCTTGTATCGTTTAAACAAAACGTTTCTCTTACATGTCAAAATACTGGTCGCTTTTTACGGAAAACTGCTACATCAAATTTCAGACAATGCGTTTACGATCCTAAACCCGTAAGAATTTTAGAAACTATTTGCTCTTTTTTTTTTTTTTTTTTAATTAAAAAAAATTTACTTATTTATTATTTTTAATTTTGTTCAGGGTTATCCAAGTTATTGGCTTTCGGGTGCGACACCTTCTTGCCCTCGTGTAGATTGTGGAAAACCTCTTTCGTCTCCCGGAGCCGAGTATGGTGGTTATCCCGATACCAAATATCAGTCTTCCTTTTTCTTCGGCTGTCAAGAAACATTTAAACTTGCTGGACAAACGAATCAGAACGATAATGTTGTAAGATGTCAGGCCAATGGAGTATGGGATTTCGGTGATTTGAGGTGTGAAGGACCTGTTTGTGAAGATCCAGGCCGACCAACTGATGGATTTCAAATTGCTAGAAGTTATGAACAAGGCTCTGAAGTCGAATTTGGTTGTAACAGACCTGGCTACATATTAATAAATCCTAGGCCTATAACATGTATTAGGGAACCAGAATGTAAAATTATTAAGCCTTTGGGTCTTGCTTCCGGTAAAATTCCAGATTCAGCTATTAATGCCACTTCAGAAAGGTAAAATTTTTTAATTTTTTGAAACTATTTTAATAAATAAAAAATTTTAAGTAACTAATTGATCACATTTAAAAAAAAAAAAAAATTAATTTTTAGACCGAATTATGAAGCTAAGAATGTTCGACTCAATTCAGTAACCGGTTGGTGTGGAAAGCAAGAAGCCTTCACTTATGTAAGTGTTGATTTGGGAAAAGTTTACAGGGTGAAAGCAATTCTTATTAAAGGAGTTGTTACAAACGATATTGTCGGAAGACCCACCGAAATTCGATTTTTTTACAAACAAACTGAAAGCGATAATTACGTAGTTTATTTTCCTAATTTTAATTTAACAATGAGAGATCCTGGCAATTACGGTGAATTGGCCATGATTACTCTTCCGAAATATGTTCAAGCTAGATTTGTCATTTTGGGTATTGTAAGTTATATGGATAATGCTTGCTTAAAATTTGAGTTGATGGGTTGTGAAGAGTCTAATACTGAACCACTTTTGGGATACGATTATGGATATTCTCCTTGCGTAGGTTTGTAATTTATTTTATAAAATTCGTTTTGTGTGTTTTTTTTTTCTTTTTTCGGTTGTAATCTGTAAAAACATACTAAATTATTTTAGACAATGAGCCTCCTGTATTTCAAAACTGCCCACAGCAACCTATAATTGTTCAGAAAGGACGAAACGGCTTAGAACCGGTTATATTTACTGAACCAATAGCAGTGGATAACAGTGGAAGTATTGCTAGATTAGAAGTAAAGCCTAAAAGTTTTAGAACACCGATAACAACTTTTCAGGATATGGCAGTAAAGTATGTGGCTTTCGATTATGATGGTAACGTTGCAATTTGCGAGATTAACATAACCGTTCCTGGTAAATATAATGCTTTTAAACTAAAATCGAAATACTAATAATAATTTAAAAAAAAAAAAAAATTTGATGGATTAAATTTAAATTTAATAATTTTTATATTACAGATGATACTCCTCCATTGTTAAGTTGTCCTCAAAGCTACGTCATAGAATTGGTAGATAAACAAGACAGTTACGTTGTGAATTTTAATGATACTAGGAAAAAAGTAAATACTTCAGACGCCTCTGGCGAAGTTACGGTTTTATTTTCACCTGAAAAAGCGACAATTCCTATTGGTGGTTATGAAAACGTTACAGTAACTGCTACAGATAAATTTGGAAATCAAGCTACGTGCCACTTTCAGGTATGAAAAAACAAAAAATTTTTGTTTTTGAATTTAATGTTTCTCTAGATAATAAAAATTCACATTCTTTAAAATTTTTTAGGTTTCAGTTCAAGCCACTCCTTGTGTAGATTGGGAATTAAAGCCTCCAAATCATGGGGCCCTTAATTGTCTACCCGGAGAAAAAGGAATTGAGTGTATTGCCACTTGTAATAGAGGTTTTAAGTTCACCGATAACCAGCAAATAAAAACTTTTAATTGCGAAAAAAAAAGTGCTTGGACGCCATCTAGTGTAGTACCTGATTGTGTTTCTGAAGGTAATTTTTTAGCTGAATTCTTCATCAATTTTTATGCAAAATTTATAAATAAATCTTTTAATTTAAAAAAAAATTTCAGATACTCAACAAGCTGATTATCACGTCACCTCATCTGTTACGTACCGCGGTAATGGTGCTGTTGCATCCCTTTGCTTGTCTCAATACGCTGATTTAATGTCTCAATATTATCCGAATCTAAATGATGAACTAAGTCAAAAATGTTCAGCTGCTGTAAATGTTTATATAAACGTTACTTTTAGTGATACCAAACCCAAACTGATTGACGATAACGTCGTACAAGTAATTTTTTTATTTTATTTATTTATTTTTTTAAAGAAAAAAGTATACCGATAAAATAATTTATTAATAAAAAAAAAAAATTTTTAGATGGATTTTAGTTTAGCGATTTCACCAGCTGTTCGTCAACCGCAGCTTTATGAACTTTGTGGCTCTACTATAAGTTTAATTTTTGATTTAACGGTTTCATACGCCAGTCAAGTCATAGAACCTCTTTTAAATGTTTCATCTATAGGAAATCAATGTCCACCTTTAAAGGCTCTTAATTCAAAAATTTCTAGAGGTTTTGATTGTAACGTCGGTGAAGTTTTAAATATGGATACTAACGATGTACCTCGCTGCTGTAAGTATTCAAAGAGCACTTCAATTATTGGCTTTAATGTGTTTTTATTAAATGTATTTTTGTATTTCTTTTTAAAGTGCATTGTCCTGCCGGAACGTTTGCTGCTGAAAAAGAAAAAACTTGTACTAATTGTCCTAAAGGATTCTTTCAAAATCGCGATCGTCAAGGTTCCTGTATACGTTGTCCTTTGGGCACTTACACCAGAGAGGAAGGATCAAAAAGCGTTAATGATTGTATTCCAGTGTGTGGCTACGGTACTTATTCTCCTACTGGTTTAGTCCCTTGTTTAGAATGTCCTAGAAACAGTTACACGGGAGAGCCACCAACAAGCGGATTCAAAGACTGTCAAGCCTGTCCGGCTAATAGTTTCACATACCAGCCTGCTGCTCCTGGAGTAAAATTTTGCCGAGGTCAGTATCATACTGAAAATTTTTTAAAGTGATATTCAAGGTTTCTGAATTTTACTTAATTAATTTTACAATAATTAATTTTAGCCAAGTGTGCTCCTGGATTTTATTCTGATACTGGACTAGCACCTTGCGCTCCTTGTCCTAGAGATTTTTATCAGTCTCAATCAGGTCAGACTGTTTGCCAAGAATGTCCTACTAATATGAAAACTGAAGGCTCAGGTGCGAAAGGTAGAGAGGAATGTAAGCCAATACAATGTACCGAGACTGCATGTCAACACGGTGGCCTTTGTGTTCCTATGGGTAGGTTTTTATTATTTAATTCATTTCTTTTCATAATCTCTCAGAATTTATTAAACTTATGGAATTTTTAAAAATTTAGGTCATGGAGTTCAGTGCTTTTGCCCAGCTGGTTTTTCGGGGCGTCGATGCGAGGTTGATATTGACGAATGTGCTTCTCAGCCTTGTTACAATGGTGGCACATGCATCGATCTTCCTCAAGGTTATAGATGCCAATGTCCCCCTGGTTATAGTGGCATTAATTGTCAGGAAGAAAAATCAGATTGTAAAAATACTACGTGCCCCGAACGAGCCATGTGTAAAGATGAGCCGGGATTAAATAATTACACGTGTTTGTGTAGGGCTGGTTATACTGGAATTGATTGTGATATTACGGTAAGTGAAACCCTTTTTTTTTTTTTACTGTAATGAACTGTTAAAATTATTTTATGTAATTTGCTTTAATTGCGTTAATTTTTTGTAACGCTTATCATTTTGTCATAATCCGTAAAATATTGAAAAGGTAAATATCACGGCAACTAAAAAAATAATAATTACTATTATTATTTTTACTTACTTATATTACTTCCTTTAATTTATAATCTCTTAGTTATAATAAGCTTTTATTTTAATTTATTAATATTTATATGCAGATTAATCCATGTACGGCTCAGGGAAATCCTTGTCTGAACGGAGCATCCTGTGTTGCTCTTCAGCAAGGAAGATTTACATGCGAATGTTTACCTGGTTGGGAAGGTCAACTTTGTGAAGTGAATGTCGGTTAGTAAATTTATTTTATTACATTAATTTTTAATAATTTATAGATTGTAGATTATTAATTTTATTATTTTAAAAATTTTCAGATGATTGTGCAGAAAAACCTTGTCTTCTGGGAGCCAACTGCACGGATTTAGTAAATGATTTTAAATGTAATTGTCCTCCAGGCTTTACAGGCAAACGTTGCCATGAAAAAATTGATCTTTGCGCAACAAATCCGTGTAAAAATGGAATTTGTATTGATATGTTATTTACTAGTCAATGTGTATGTAACCCGGGTTGGACAGGAGAATTTTGCGAAATAAATATTAATGATTGTGCTGGTCAACCTTGCGAAAATGGAGGTATTTGTAACGATTTAATCGATGGATATTCTTGTAATTGTGACTTGGGATATACAGGAAAACGATGTCAGCATTTGATTGATGATTGTGCTTCTGAACCTTGCCAAAATGGTGCCAGTTGTATAGACATGTTGGATGGTTTTGTATGCAGTTGTAGACCTGGTTTTGTAGGTTCGTATTGATGTACAACATATACGCTTATACGTGTACATTATTTGAGTTTAAGTAAATTATTTACTTATTTACTTAAAAATTTTTAAGGTTTGCAATGTGAAGCGGAAATCGATGAATGTCTTAACGATCCTTGTAATCCTGAGGGTAGTGACAAATGTTTAGATCTTGATAATCGATTTGAATGCGTATGTCGAGAAGGTTTTACTGGAACTTATTGTGAAACAAATATAGATGAATGTAGCCCTCAACCTTGTCTTAATGGTGGAACATGTAGAGACGAAATTGGAAAATTTAGTTGTTCTTGCCCGCCTGGTTGGACTGGGCCTAAATGTGAATTTGATGTTGGAACTTGTCAAAACCGCCCGTGCATGAACGATGCTGCTTGTATTGATTTATTTTTAGATTATTTCTGCGTGTAAGTTTTTTTAAAAAAATTAAGTAAAGCAAATTCTTTTAGTAACGATATTTTTTCAAAAGATTTTTTTATTTTCAATTTTATTTAGATGTCCTTCGGGTACCGACGGTAAGCAATGTGAAACTGCTCCGGAAAGATGCATAGGTAACCCTTGCATGCATGGTGGACAATGCCAGGATTATGGAAGCGGTTTGAATTGCTCTTGCCCCTCAGATTTCACGGGAATCGGATGCCAATATGAATACGATGCTTGTGACTCAAATGCTTGTAAAAATGGAGCGACGTGCGTAGACAGTGGACCAGGATTTACTTGCTTATGCTCTCCTGGTTTTACTGGAAAATTTTGCGAACAAGATATTGTAGATTGTAAAGAAAATTCGTGTCCTCCATCTGCTACATGTATAGATCTAACTGATAAATTTTATTGTCAATGTCCTTTTAATTTAACCGGAGAAGACTGCAGAAAAAGTAAGCATTTTATCTTATTTCATTTTTTATCACCTCTTAGAACAATTTTTACAAAATAATTTAAATCATTTTTTTTTTAATCATAATATTTTTTTTATTTTAGCTATTTCAGTTGATTATGATTTACATTTTACCGATATGACTCGCAGTAGTGCATCATTACTTGTGCCTTTTAGCTTAGGACAAAAGAAAAGTTTAACCATCGCCATGTGGGTTCAATTTTCAAACAAAGACGAAGGTGGTACTTTTTTCACTCTTTCATCGGTCTCGTAAGTATAATTAATGTTTGGTTACACCAATTTTTACCTATTATTATTATTATTACTTATGGTTCAAATTTAATTTTTTGTAGATCACCTTACGTGCCTGTTGGTCGTCGAACATTAATTCAAGTTCTTAGTAATGGCGTTCAAATTTCTTTATTTGAAGACATTCAAGATGTGTACCTGAGTTTCCGCGAATATGCTACCATAAACGACGGACAATGGCATCACGTTGCTATTGTTTGGGATGGAGAAAAAGGTGGTGAGCTAACTTTGATTACCGAGGGATTGATCGCTAGTAAAATAGAAGGCTACGGTGGCGGAAGGACTTTACCAGAAAAGTAAATTTAAATTAACAATTATATTTTAATTTTAAAAACAATTTTTAAATTTTTAATTTATTTTTCACATTTTTTTTTTTTTAGTGGTTGGGTCACTCTTGGTAAACCGAGAAACGAAAGTCCGAAGGCATATACAGACTCTGGTTTCCAAGGTCATTTAACTAAAGTTCAAATTTGGGGAAGAGCATTAGATGTTACTGGAGAAATTCAAAAGCAGGTAAGTTATATACAATATTCTGAAAAAGTTTTTTTAGTAATATTTATGCATTAATTATTTTATTTATTAATAATCGTAGGTTCGAGATTGTAGAACTGAGCCAGTTTTATATCAGGGATTGTTACTAAACTTTGCTGGTTATGACGATACAATTGGCGGCGTTGAACGAAAAGTACCGTCACATTGTGGTCAAAAAGTATGTCCAATTGGTTACACTGGATCTAAATGCCAAGAAGTTGATGTTGATAAGGTAATTTTATAAAATGAAAATTTTTTTACTTTAATAATTTTTTCCATAATTTGTAATATCATATTCTTTTTTTCTCAAGATTCCACCAAGCGTTGATCACTGCCCCGGAGACCTTTGGGTTATTGCCAAAAATGGTTCATCTTTGGTTACGTGGGATGAGCCGGAATTCAGTGATAATGTTAAAGTTGTTAAAATTATCGAAAAAAGTAATCATAGGCCTGGACAAACACTCCTGTGGGGAACTTACGAAATTGCTTATGTCGCTTACGATCAAGCCGGAAACAGTGCAACTTGTACTTTTAAAGTATATGTTTTAGGTAAATAATGATTTTTTTTCAGTTTTAATGTTTAAGTATCAAAAGTTTCGTCTAAATATTAAACTTTACTCTTTACTTTGATTTTTTCTAAAGCTGACTTTTGTCCGGAGCTCAATGATCCCGTTGGTGGAACTCAAATTTGTAAAAATTGGGGTTCAGGAGGACAATTTAAGGTCTGCGAAATTGCATGCAAATCGGGATTAAAATTTTCTCAGGATATTCCAGCTTTTTATACGTGTGGGGCTGAAGGATTTTGGAGACCGACTACAAATCCAAGTTTACCATTAGTATATCCTGCGTGTTCAGGTAAAACAATAATTTTTACGTTATTAGTTTTTGCATTAAAAATTTTTGATTTTTATTAAGTATTATTAGGTTCATATTGAAAATTGTAATTTTTCATTTTGCAGCTGCAAAACCGGCTCAAAGAGTTTTCAAAATCAATATGCTTTTCCCAAGCTCTGTACTTTGTAACGAAGCAGGTCAAGGCGTCCTTAGGCAAAAAGTACGGAAAGCCGTCAATTCCTTAAACAGTGATTGGAATTTCTGTTCTTACTCTGCAGAAGTTACAAAAGAATGTAGAGACCTTGATATTGTTGTTAAATGTGATCATCGTTTGAGAAATGGCCGGGTATTGGATGACAGTAAAGGTTCCCACGAATCAAATGACGTCTTATCCGTAGAAAGGTTCATACTGTTTATACATTTTTACTTTTATATATAAATATTTTTGAATAATTTTCAGGAATTATTTATCATTTTTCATTTCAGACTTAGTCGACAAGTAAGACAAGCAAGTGATACGTACAGCGTAGAAATTTCTTTCCCTGCTGCCAGGTAAGTAGAGTTTAAATTTAAAATTTAGATCTTAAATTTAAAAAAAAAATTTTTAATTTAATAAATTTTAATTTTCAGTGATCCAGTCATTAATACAAATTCAAACGAACGAGCCAACGTACAAAGATTGCTAGAAAAACTTATTCTCGAAGAGGATCAGTTTGATGTTCATGATATTCTTCCAAATACTGTTCTTGATCCGTCGTCACTGAAGCTTGAATCCGATTATGCCTGTCCAGTTGGCCAAGTAGTGATCGCTCCCGATTGCGTCCCATGTGCTGTAGGCAGTTATTATGATCAAAACACTAAAACGTGTTTGCCTTGCCCAATCGGAACATATCAAAGTGAATCCGGGCAAACACAGTGTTCTACTTGTCCCATCATTGCCGGACGACCTGGGGTTACAGTTTCTCCGGGTGCACGTAGCGCGGCTGACTGTAAAGGTCTGCATGTTTTCACATTGATTTTATTTTAATTTTAATAAATAAAAATGAAATTTTCAAAGGTAAAATAATTTTTTTTTTTTTTTTACAGAACGTTGCCTCGCTGGAAAATACTTTGATCACGAAGCTGAGCTTTGCCGTAGCTGCGGACATGGTTTCTATCAGCCCAATGAAGGAAGTTTCTCATGTTTCCTTTGTGGTCTTGGAAAAACAACCAGAACAACCGAAGCCTTATCGCAAGAAGTAAGCAAAAGAAATTTTTTTTTAAAAATTGTTCAAGGATGTAAAATTAATTAATTTATTACCATTAGGAATGTCGTGACGAATGTGGGTCTGGTATGCAATTGGGAGTAGATGGTAAATGTGAACCTTGCCCAAGAGGTACTTATCGTACGCAAGGAATTCAAGCTGCTTGTCAAAGTTGCCCCCTGGGCAAAACTACACCGAAGATTGGAGCCGCTTCCATTGAAGAATGCTCTTTGCCGATTTGCCCACCTGGTACTTACTTAAATGGTACTCAAAACAGCTGTGTTGCTTGTAAGAAAGGAACGTACCAACCTGAAAGTCAACAAACCATGTGCCTTCCATGTCCACCGAATACTAGCACCAAAGGACCGTCTTCCGTAAGATTACAATACATTTTTTTATATGAAATACCTTTTTTTTCGTCTACGTTTCCGGTAATTTTAACATTAAATATTTTAATTACAGACTAGCAAAGCCGATTGTACAAACCCTTGTGAAATCAGTGGTCCTGGAATGCATTGTCATCGAAATGCTCACTGTCTTTTAATACAGGAAATAAGTGATTTCAAATGCGAATGCAAACCTGGATTTACAGGAAATGGAACTGATTGTCGTGGTAAGTTATTCAAAATTTTTTTTTAAATTTTTTTTATAAAAATAGAGATAGCCGATGAAGAGTTAATTTTTTTTTAAAACAATTTTTTAGATGTTTGCGACAATTATTGTGAAAATGAAGGGGTTTGTGTAAAAGATAGTAAAGGACAACCTTCTTGCCGTTGTATCGGTTCATTTACTGGAAAACACTGTGCAGAAAAGTCTGAATTTGCCTATATTGCTGGAGGAGTTGCAGGCGGAGTTATTTTTATTATTCTTATTATTTTATTAGTATGGATGATATGCGCTAGGTTTGTGATTTCCACCGCAATAAAAATAGTAAAAGTGTCACGTGACTTAATTATATCAAATTACAATGCGAAATTTGTTTTTCAGGTCGGGTAGAAAGAAAGAACCCAAGAAGATATTACAACATGCTGCCGATCAAAATGGATCGCAAGTTAATTTCTACTACGGAGCTCCCACACCTTATGCAGAATCAATCGCTCCTTCCCATCATTCTACCTACGCTCACTATTACGACGACGAAGAAGATGGATGGGAAATGCCCAATTTTTACAACGAGACTTACATGAAAGGTAATGAACGTATATATATATATATTTTAATTAAATCACAAACGTAGAATATAAAAATACTTTTGTAATCACGTGCTCTTACACCCTTGTAGAAAGTTTACATAGTAACAAAATGAATAGTCTTGCAAGATCGAACGCTAGTATTTACGGGAATAAAGAAGATTTGTACGATAGGCTCAAGAGGCATGCATACACGGGAAAAAAAGACAGGAGTGACAGCGACAGCGAGGGACAATAGAAAAGTAAAAACATAACAATCGGTGCCACATTGGAAAACATATACGTATGTGTTTTTTTTTTTTTAAATAATAAATTACAATGAGAATCGTGAAAATCGTTGTAAACATTGCGCTTATAATTTTTTAGTTAATTAATTTTTTTTTTTTTGTCTGAGCTTGAACGTTTTGAACATTTGATTATTTGTTTGAAATAATTAACAAGACTGTTTACAAAAGCTCAAGCGTATACAAAAGCTCATAATATAAACAATAAATAATTGGGTTTGTTAAAGGAAATGCAACATAGTGTTGTTACCAAATAAAATTAATTGATTGCGTAGACATTTTTCTTTTCCCCGGTGCTATTCATTTATTTTTTAAAAAAAAACATTTTAAACCTTTAAAAGGATTATTAAAAAGGTATAAAAATGAATAGTAGTAAAAAGAAAAAAAAAGAACTCATTAATAATAATGTTATTCCCTACCTATTTAAAATATTTTTGAATTCAACATCCCTATTATTATTATTATTATACCGTAAAATCATTTTTTTTTAATATAATATAATATAATTAATTTTATAATATTACACGTCGTTTAGTGTTTGCATATATATATATATATATATAAGTAATAATTTTTTCGAAGGGATTAAAACAAATAAAAAAAAATAAATTTGAATATAATCAATAAGGCCATTGTTGTTATATATATATAAAATGTTTGTTTTATACGTTACCTTCTTTGTATTGAAACAATAACATGATTTTTTTTTTGTATTTTATAAATAATTATGTTTGTTTAAAATTTTTTTTTACATACATACATACATACCTAGGTTTGTTAGGTTTATTTAATTAACTTTTTTTTTATTATTGTTTTAATAAGAATGAATGAATGAATGAATGCCAAGGAGAAAAGTGTGTGACTGTATATTTTTTACTGTTATTTTATATTTAATAAAAAAAAATTTAAAAATAATTTAATCAAAAGTTTTTTTTTTTATTATTATTATTTAAATGTGATTATATGTTATAAAGTTATTATTATTATTATTTAAAAATACCGTATAAACTTTAATGTTTTAAAAATTTACAAAAAAAATGATTCATCAGAGATAATTAATTTTATGCCCCTCGCAACATCCCTTTACCCGGTTCCCTTTTTTTTTTACCCCATAAGTCAAATGTCTGTCTCGTTTCCCCCTTTTCTTTTCTTTTCTTTTTTTTTATGAGAATATATATACACAAATTATAAAAAAAAAAAAAAATTTAATCCATTTATTTTAAAAGTTTGTGCGTGTGTGTATGCGTGCGTGTGTGCGTGCGTGCGAATGAATGAATTACACATTAATTTATTAATAATTTTTTTTGTTATATGTTTCTACGGTCAAATTTAATAATAATTATTATTATTATTGTAAATTTTATATTATTTAATTTGTTTATTGTTTTAAAGGTTTGATAATTTTTTTTTATGTACATAAATTCAAAAGTTTTTTTCTAGAAAAAAAAAAGATTCGCGGTTTATTATTAATAATAATAATAATATTTGAAATGCAAGCAAAAAAAAAAAAATGTCAAAAATTGATAAGAATTTGATAATAATAATAATAATAATTTATATCGATATTAACATTAAAAAATTACTACTCTAATTATTAAAATACGAATATTTTATTTTATTAAATATGATAATGATAATAATAATTAGTAGTAGTTGTGGTAAAAAAAAAAAAAATTACGTAACATGTTACGAATGGTTTTTTTTTGTAAAAAAGAAAGAAAGAAAAAAGTATATGTTTAAGGAAATATGACCAATACGACCCTGATTGGTGAAAGCAATAAGGGTTGTTATTGATCGAATATCCCCTCATCCTTAATTTTCACTCGCAATCTCCATCCCTTAATTTTACTCTCAGTATTCACTCCCTAGCATCACGTAAAAAACCATTTTTGTCGTGTGCTTTTTTTTCCTTTCCTATTTCTACTTTCTCTGTGTTGGAATTTATTTGACAATCCAACAGGATGTAGTAGGATTTTCATTGTTCGCGTTTTTATTTTTTACTGTTTTTATATTTCCGCATAAAGTTTTTTTTTTTTTTTCTTTCTTTTTTTTTTTGTGTGTGTGTGTATTTAACTTTGCTCTGTGCCTTTGCCATGACACGTGATCTTGGTGTTTTCTTCAAGGTCAATTTTCTGTTTTTTTTTTTTTTATTCTTGAGGTCAAATTAAAAAAGTGAAAGTAGTTTTGTATTTATTTTTTAAGGTTTTTTTTATTTAATGTAAATGTAAAAATTATTGTATTTAAATATTTAAAATAGTAAAAAAAATAAAAAATTTTGTAAAATGGAAAAAATAAGATCGGACAAAATGAGTGACGTACAAAAGGCGTCATATTTGGAAGCCTACATGGCTCAACAAGCTGTGGCTTTACAGCAACAAAATAAATTCCGGTATGATAATATACCATTACCGATGGACGATAAAAAAAAACCTGCAACTCTTTCAAATGGAAACGCTGGATCAACATCGTCGAAAATATTTGCCAATCAGGTAGGAGGATATTCAAATTATGCGGCACCAATTAAAGTACCTCAGTTGCAAACTTCAGGTTCTGACTCTTACAAATCGAATATAGAATCAACATTTACCGTACCGGATGATGGCATGGGATACGATGATGGAGTTCGAGTTTTAAGAACATTGGGTTCATGGTATGTATTCTTTTTTTTTTTTTTTTTTTTTTAAATTTTGTTTTTTTCAGGTATTTAAGTGTTCGTTTACAATAAGTTCTTTAAAACCTTCCAAAAAAAAAATCATGCAATTTTAAAAATAAATTTTTGTTTTAAATTAATAAATAATTTTTTTTTAAATTTACACAAAGTAAATTTATTTTTAAAAAAAAAACATACACTAATATTTATTAATATTTTTAGGACGCCGGAATATTCTGGACTTTCATCAAGGCCATCCACTGGAATGCTATTTTCGGATTTGCCATATTCCCATGCTGATATCAATCAACGAAAACTTACATCAGCCGTTTTACCGACACCTCTTCCAGTTCCACAATCCTCAAATCAAACTTCATTGACAAGACCAACGCCTACAATGGCACAACCGAAAAAAGAAGACACTACTGCATTGGGATCAGTTAGAATTCAGACAACGCAACAACATCAAGGATCACAACAGCAACAACAACAACAACAACAACAGCAGCAGCAGCAAACACAGCAACAACAGCAATCATTATCGAGAACAAATTCTGTGGCTCAAACAAAAAACGCTCATGTATCATCAGGTCTTCCGAATACGGGAAATAAATCTTTTACTTGCACTATATGTGGTAAGACCTTAGCGCGAAAAGATAAATTAGTGATACACACACGTATTCACACTGGAGAAAAGCCTTACATATGTGAAGTATGTGATAAAGCGTTTGCTAGGAGAGATAAATTAGTGATTCATATGAATAAAATGAAACATCGCACCCCAACAAATATTGCTCCTTTAGGGAAACGAACAAATATCGACAAGAATTCAGCGGCCAAAAAAGCTTTACAGGAAGATATTGATGAGATACCCAAAGCTACAGCTTTAAGCATTCAGTCAGCTGCAGCAAATTGGTCGTGTGAACTTTGCGGCCAAATGATGACCACGAGAGAAGAATGGACGGTTCATGCAAAAGCACATCTCGAAGAGAAAATAACGGGTATAGGTGTTATAAGCCCAAATAATTTTCCCAATAATCAGAGGTCGATTGGAAATTACAATCCGAACTCCGTCCACATGCCTGGAATAGGAAATTCAGCTTATCCTACCGTTCCACAACATGCTTCCCCTTATCAACCTTTTAGTATATCAGAAATGCAATATTGCCCGGTGTGTCGACAAACATTTGCAACAAAATCAGAATTTATGCTTCATGTGAGAGCACATTTTGATAATGTTATAAAACCTCATGATAGTGATACTGCGAGACAACCGGCAACTAATTCTTCGAGCACTGCTATCATTGACAACACGAGCATTTGTAGTTAAATAATCAAATTATCACGTGAACGTGAGGGGAGGGGGGGAAAAGTGACATGAACAAAATGTAAAATGTGACTTTAATCCGGTATAATTGACTAATTGTTAAAAAAAAAAAAACTCTATCATCTTCATTTGAATGTTTGCTGCATGCAAAATATTTATTATAATAAACATTTATTTTCGTAACTTAATATTTTTACTACACTGCTATTTATGCTAAAAAAAAAAAAGTTTTGTGTTTTACGCTTTTTATTTTTGTTTTAATCTAATATATATTGTCCATTTCAAAACTATGTTATTCCTACCAAAGCAACTTATAACTCTTTATTGACTATTGGTCAATATAAATTTATTTGGGAGGTATTTGAAAATTCATATATGTATTATATTACATTCATGAAGTATAAGCATTTGAGCAAATTATTACATCACTTGAAGAAAATTTTTAAAAAAAATTTTTTAGTTTCACAAAAATAATATTAGTCATTTATAAATTTCAAATGTAAAAAAATTGAATATTGAAAATCATATTAAAAAATCTACAAAAGCAAAAAAAAAAAAGTACTTTACCTAATTTGCTTTTAATTATTTTACATTATTTCTTCTCAACTTTTAAATTTTTTGGACATACAAGTGTCATTAGTTTTTTTTTGTCGTGGTTTTAACTAGTTTTATAAATTCAAAATGGATCTCGTGGGTAAGACCATTTGAGGTACATTTCGTGGCCATTCTTATCATTTATTTATTTTTCTTTCGGTCATGAAAAGAAAAAAAAATGTCTGACTCTACTGATTCCGAAGAGTTTTACGATGCGGAAGATTCTACTCCCAAAAAGTTTGTAAGGTAGGTTTTTTACTTCGTTAATGTTTGATAAAATGAATTTCATATTTAAAAATTTATTTCATTAAATTATTTTTTTTTTTTTTTTTAATTTACGTTAAAAACAAATGTTATATTTGTTCGTAAATATTATTTTACTATTAATTAAATTTAAATAAGAGTTATTTATATTTTTATGTTAAACATAAAAATGTAAATTGAAAATTTATTTAAAATAAATTTATCCATTAAAGAAAATAATGAAAGAACCAAGTAACAGAAGTTATTGATACATTTATATTAATTTCAGTAAGATAATTTTTTTTTTTGACTTTATGTAATCGAAATAAAAGAATTGTCATGGCAAATTTTAATTTTATAAAAGAATAATATTTGTGAAAGAAATCAAGAAAATTTTAACTGTAACCATGCTTTTAAATTTAAATTTTTTAATTTAAATGTATTAAAAGTTTGTGTTGTACATTTTTTATAAATATTTTTTTTTTAAAAAATTTTTCTAGCAAAAAGCAAGAATTCAATGAAACATCTAGAAAGAATTCTTCAATAGAAAATAAAGAGACAAACAATGAAATAAGTTCAAAGCTAGATTCTTCAGAAGATGTGAAAATACTAAGGGATGAAAATAATGAAGAATTAAAAAAACCTGAAGAAATGAAACTCTTGGTCAATGATGATAGAAAATGGTTTTCAGAACTGAGACAAAGAATGCAAACAGATGATGAAGATATTGGTGGGTTAAATACATCTCAGCCAGAAAGTCAAACATCTTCAGTAGAGGGGGTGTTTGCTCAACCTGCACCTAAAACCTCTCACCCTTTCAGAATAATTGAGCATGATAATATAAGCATTCAAAGCATGATGTCTCTAGGTAGAGTTGGAAGGCTGTTAGGCGGTATAGAATCTGGTAAAAAAAAAAGACATTTTTACATTTACGTTTTTTTACATTATTTTACATTTTAATAATTTTAAATTTTGCTTATAATTTTTTTTTTTTTTTTTTTTTTATAGCTTCATCAAAGGATCCTTTAAACAGTAAACCAGGATTAATTAGCAATCAGTCATCTTTGGAAACAACAAGAGATAGTTCTCCAGTATCACTTAGAAGTAGCCAATCTACAATTTTTTCACAAAATTGTGAAATAACAAATAGTAATTCTGTTAAGAGTCATGAAGATTTAAGAAGCTCTTCTTGTGAACTTCCCCTACAGGTATGCATTTTTTAAAATTGTTTTACATTTTTTTATTTAAATTTGGAAATTTAACTTTCAAGCTTATTTTTTTTTTCTCTATATTTTACTCGTGACCATTTTTATATTTCATAGAGAACTTAAACTACGCTCAATGTACATATTTTAAATTTATAATAATTATTTTGTTATTCTTTAGGAACCAGATGTAATTGCAAGCACTAAAAATTCAATAACAACTAATAATTTAACAAGTATTAATGAAACCAAAAGTTTTAAAGATATGAAGAAGGAAAACACTGAAATAAGTGACGTCATGAAGATGCCTGTTCCTCCACCGAGAAAATGGAAGAAAAAGTCTAAAACTTTTTTACATCCTTCTGTGGTAAGTGCAGTGCTTAATTTTTTATAAATTATTATATTATTTTCATTTTACACTTATTTAACTAAAATGGTATACTTTAAAGGGTAATAATCTGCCTGACTCGTTACATAACTCTAAAGGTACAATACCGTTGCCAAGCCCTGCAAGTACAATTGAATCATTAACTAGAGAACTCGAAAATTCTTTGGATATTCATTCTGCAACAAAGGGGCAATATGTTGTTAAACCTCAGGTATGACTTTCATTTATTAAATAAGAATAACTTTGATAATGTTTAGTTTGCAATTTCATAAATATTTTTTTTTTTACGAAAGGATGAAGACAAAGCTAAGGCTGAAGAGGTTGTCGATGATGATAGGCCAAAAGAAATAAAAAATAAAGATAAATTTCCTATTACCAATAATTTACCCTTAATGATTCCCTGTAATACTAACAGCATTGGTCGTACTAGTATCAATAGTGCTAGTGGATTAAGGTATGTATTTTTTAGAATTATTACAAAACTTGAGTATTGTAAATGAAATAATAATTTTTTCTGTTTTTATTTCGCAGCATGTCTCATTTTGTTGGATTACATTCAAATGCCACAATGTTAGATAAAAACAGTGAAATTAAAAATAGTGAACATAAAAAAAATAATTTAAGTCCTAAAGTATCTAAAGAAAGAAGGAAATCTGCAGATGATGAACAAGGCTTTATATCGCAATTGAATATGTTTGTCAGGACAAGGACTGACTCTGGAAAACAATTGTCAGATCTGGTATGCCATAAAAATTGTACCTTATTAGTTTTATTAAGTCATCTAATCCACTAATGATAAGCTTATTTGTGTTTTTTTTTTTTTAGGAAATTTTAGAACAAGTTACTGTTTTAAATTTAGACACTGGTGAAAGAGTTCCATTAAGTGTAGCCGAAGATAAATTACCTCAAGGAATCAATCCCCTTTCACTTCACATTATGAGGTTAACATCAGAATATGTGAGTGACACTAATTTAGAAAAGCAAAAGGAATCCGATGAGGAAAGTGTTGATAGCAAAGTATCTGAGATTCAAATAGGTAAAGATTTCGATAGGAGGACTGTAAAGAAAAAAACAGAAAAACTCAAAAAATTTTTTGGTTCCACTGTTAAAAAAACCATGGACAAAGCTAAATTATTAGCTCAAGAGGTAATTAAAAGAATTATATTTACACAATTATGAACTGAAATGTTGAACGATTTTTTGTAATTTTTTTTTTTTTTTTTTTTTTTTTTTTTGTAGGTTTCACAAGGAAGGCATAAAGAAGAGGGAATGGATATAACTGAAGAAGGAAATACCGGAGAACAATACATCAAATTAAAAGCGTCTAACAGTCACAAAGGGCCTTATGACTTTGACAGTCTTAAACACGTTCAAGACCTCAGCGGAGAGCATCAGGGACCAGTTTGGTGCATGAAATTTTCAGCCTGCGGTCGTTTACTAGCCACTGCTGGTCAAGATAAAATTCTTCGCGTGTGGGTTTTAAAAAATGCTTATCAACAATTTCAGGTAAGTAAAAATTAAATATTATTATAATTTACCTTTAATTATTATTATCGGTTGCAATAGTTTTGACGTTTTTATTTTTTTTTTGAAAACTTTAAGGACATTAGAACTAAATATAATAACCCGAACAAAGTTTCACCAACTCCTTCTCAAGAATCACTTGTGTCACAACATTCGGGTGAAGACCCAGAATCAACATCTGCATTTTTAGATACCGGTGGTAGCATAGCGCCGTTCATGCCTAAGCCCCTTTGTACTTATGTAGGACACACGTCTGATTTATTAGACGTTTCTTGGTCAAAAAATTATTTCGTTCTTTCGTCTTCTATGGACAAAACTGTTCGGCTGTGGCATATTTCTCGCAAAGAATGTCTTTGCTGTTTTCAACACATTGATTTTGTTACCGCTATTGTCTTTTTACCGAGAGATGACAGGTATTTTTTAAGCGGTTCTTTAGACGGAAAACTGAGATTATGGAATATTCCCGATAAAAAGGTAGCTGTTTGGAATGAAGTAGATGGTCAAACGAAGCTTATAACAGCCGCTAATTTCTGTTTAAACGGTAAATTAGCTGTAATAGGAAGCTACGATGGACGCTGTATATTTTATCATACGGATAATTTAAAATATCATACAACAATTCATGTCAGATCGACTCGTGGTAAAAATTCTACTGGGAGGAAAATTAGTGGAATAGAACCCATGCCGGGAGAAGAGGGAAAAATTTTAGTTACTTCCAATGATTCTAGAATTCGATTGTACGATCTCAGAGATTTAAACCTGTCTTGCAAATATAAGGGTTATGTCAATATAAGTAGTCAAATAAAGGCAAGCTTCAGCCATGATGGAAAATACATAATTAGCGGCTCCGAAAATCAATGTTTGTATATTTGGAAAACTCATCACGACTATGCTAAATTTTCATCCGTACGGAGAGACAGAAATGATTTTTGGGAGGGAATCAAAGTTCACAATGCCGTTGTAACATGTGCAGTTTTTGCACCCAATCCAGAAAGTATAATTAAAGAACTTGAAGAAAAAGAATTGGAACTTAGAGGAGACCGAGATGAGATAAATGTTGAGGACCCGGTAGTTGCACAACGGACCAAGGGTTGCGGAGGATACGTTTTGGTAAGTGCAGATTTTAACGGTTGTATTAAAGTTTTTGTAAATAAAATGAAACCCAAACATAGCTCTCTCCCTGCTTCAGCCTTAGCCTAATTAATAGCTAATGTTAAATAGTGAAAAGTTGTTTTTATTAAAGGAAAAAATATTGCCCTAATATATATATATATTAATTAAATATCGCAATTTTGCTTTACTTTCAACAACAACAAAAGAAATTCATTTGTAATAAATATGTCTATAAAAATGGTTAAAATAAATAGTAACAAAGTGAATGATTAATGAATCGTAACAGTGATAATTTAAGTTAAAGTATTTAAAAAATTTATTTTTTTATTATATATATATAAGTTTCTTACCATTATAAATATTTTTTCGCGTTTTAAATATATAATTTGAAAATAAATGTAAATAAAAATATTTTTAAATATGGCATATATTATATTATTTTAGCACTCTTTTATTAAAAGAAAAAACTGTAAATGATTTTCTTACAAACTTAAATAATATTAATCTTTTCATTGAATATTATTATTATTATTATTACTGGAGGAAAATAGAAAAACTAATTATAATAATCGATGACATTTACTTAGTACTTTGAGTCATTTGAATTCGAATTAAAAAATTTGTATTGACGAAATCCAAATATTGTGTGATGATGGTTAAGAATGAAATTTTTAATTTTTGAAATTTATTTTCAATTTTAAATAATATTTTGAAGTTTATTTGACTTTACGAGAACAATAACAATAAACATCTTTTTGTGCCAAAATTATCGAATTTTTCAATTTCGAAATATTTGTTAATGTCGCTAATTTCATATATAAAAAAAAATTTAATTGATAAATATACTAGGTAGAGTATAATGATTTTTCTAACTTTAAAAAAAAAACATATATATATATACATAACTTTTTACTAATCTATAATTAAATTATATTAATATTATTGTTTTAATTAATTTATATTAAATTTAATTTATGATAAAAGAAAAAGTATCATCTTTAAACAGATTTACAATCTTTAAACTCACATTACTTGAATTTTCATGATTAAATTACATGTTCTAATTCCATTTCTTATTATTAACAACACAAATATGTTTTTTCATTATTTTTTAAATTTATTTAAATATAATTAACTTTGAATTAAACACTTCTAACAGAATAGATAGGAGTTCTTTTTATAAATTCATCCAACTTAGTCTTAAATAATTCACTTTCAATGGCTTCATTCATAGAACATAAAGGATTTTTTACAACATATTCGACATAAATTTGACTGTAGATTTGTTGAAGAATATCTCTATTGTTAGGTGAAACAATGTCTGTGTTTAATACAAATTTTAAACCTGTAGGTGTTTCAAAATAATTCAAAACATATTTGCTTGTTTTGTAATATAAAAAACCTTCTTTTACATCCATTGGAGAAATTCTGGTAACAAAAGTTTTTAATGAAAAAAGCATCCCATACATTAATTTTCCCTCCTGAAATTTAATTTAAAAAATTTTAAATGAACCTGAAATGTGATACATGAAGAAATTAAAAAAAAAGAAAAAAAAAATTCACTTCTTCTCTTGTCATTCCTGATTGCTTAACTCTAAACCATTCAGCATAATATAAAAGCGTTCCATTTTTATCGAATAAATAAAAATTATAAATGGTCATTTTTAATTCATTTCAAGAAACAAAATTGTAAAAAAAAAAAAAAAAAAAAACACCACCACTCTATTTTAATAATATCATTTTAAAATAATTTAAGAGACCCAAAGGCGGTCACATAACATTGTATTGGATCGTGTAAATAGCAAATTAGTCATGTCACACAATCTACGTTTTTTTCTATATCCACGTCAAACCATTGTCGTTTCATTTAAATCAAAATTATTTTCTATCGTTTTGTTAATTTTTATTTGTAATTTTTAAAGAATGGCTGCAGTAACGAAAAAAATTTTTGGTCAATTAAAAAGTCCTGAATTTAGGAGTTACTTAATGAGGTAAAATATTATTGTTTTTTTTTTATAAATATAAAATTTTAACAGACTTAATTTATAAAGTTACCTTGAAATTATTGAAGGACAAAAAGTTTAAAAGTAACTTTTTTTTTTTTTTTTTTTTTTTAAACAGCACTCATTTTTGGGGACCCGTTGCAAATTGGGGAATTCCTTTAGCTGCCATTAGTGATATAAGAAAAAATCCAAAATATATCAGTGGAAAAATGACTCTTGCCTTGTGCGTTTATTCTCTTATTTTTATGAGATTTGCCGTCAGAGTTCAACCAAAAAATTTACTTTTATTTGCATGTCATTTAACTAATGAATGCGCTCAATTGGTTCAGGGAGTTAGATTTATTAATTATAATTATGTAGAAAAAAATAATGATAATAATCTTTGACAAATTATTTTTTGTTAGTTTTATAATTTATAAAAATAATAATAATTATGTTGTAGACTTTTTATTATTAACAATAGTAAAACATACATTCCAGGTAAAATTTTTATCTAATTTAACGAAATCTTTATTTTAAGTTTTTAAACAATTGTTGTTGTCGAGAAACATTAAGGGCCATTATTTTATTACAATTATTCAAAATTTATATTTATTTAAGTAAAAATGTTATGTAATTAATCATAAAACTCTAACCTTCATTATTTATTCTTTAAGGTCAGTAACATACATTTTTACTATGAAAAGTACAACACTAATCATATCAGCGATTGTAATTACTTAATACATAAATGTGATATAAATTATTATTTTATTTAAAAATCTTAATTTATTTAAAAAAAAATTGACTGTTAAATTATATCATGTTAATGTTGTACTGATTTAAAAAAAAAAAAAAAAAAAAGTATAAAAAATATATTAATTTTATACTTATAAATTTTATATCTCCCATTGACATATTTATTGAAATTTTGTTATTAAAAAAAACTTTAAGAAATTATTTAAAGCAATGATTTATTATTATTATTATTTCATAATGATAATAATAATAATATTTTTATGACAAATGAATGAATGCCATTAAATTATATTTTTTTTTTATTAAATGTTACATAATTAAGTTTTTTATCTCCTAACATTATCCAAGGCTGTTATTATAATTTTTCTTCTTCTTAATACTAATTTTATAATTATTGTTTTAATAATAATTTAAATTTGACATTTCATCATTTTTTCTGTTTGCGTTTTAAATTTTTTATATTAAAATCAGGATAGTTTTCACTCATAAAGGAAAAAAACTAATAATAATAATAATATCACTTATGGTATTTTAAATAGAATTTCCCAATTAAAAAAAATGTTATTGTAAATTTATCACATAAATGATTTTATTTGTAAATTAATAATTTTTATCAACCTTGTAATAAAATAATTTGATTAAAGTATTGAAAAATAAAAAAAATGGAAAAGAAATAGAAATGCAGAAAACTCGTTTCCTCATTAAATTACCGGTTATTCAAGATATATATATATAAATTTTTTTTTTGCTACCAAGTTTTAACTGTAGATCATGTTAAAATTTATTTATATAAATAACATTTTATTATTACCTTTGAAAAAAAAAAAAAAAAATTACGATAAAATATCCCACCATTTCATACCTTAAAATTATAATTTTTCTCTCTTTTAATATTGATAATTTTTTAATAAGGGAAAAAAAAGGGAAGAGGAAGAGGAAGAGGAATATTTGATGTAATTTTTTAAATTCAAAAATTTAATTAATTGAAAGAATGATAATGAGTGATGATAAATTTTTGAATTGTTTTTTTTTGGGTTCATTTGTTCGAAAATTATTATTATTATTATTATTTTTTTTTTTAAATAATTTAAAAAAAAAAAAAAAGTTAATAAATTCCTTATTTTGGAATTTTAATTTAATGGGCTCGGTATTTTTAACCGTATTTTATTTCGGTGTATTTATTATTATATTAATAGCCGTTTATGTTCTTATGTGTTATCTATATTATAGATTTACGGAATATTTAAATCGAAGAAATTAATTTATATAATTATGAATGAGATTTTATTTATTTAACAAGGTAAATAATGAAAAACAAAATTTTTTTCTTTCATTCTGTTATTTTATTTTTTTTTTTTTTTTGAAATGTTTTCAAATAACAAATGCTATTACTATTATCGTTTTTCAATTGTCGACATCTGGACAAAATGGCTAAAAATATTTTCGAAGCGTGAAATTTTAACTTCAATGTTTCGGTCCTTACAAAAAACAATTTGATCAATTTGCACATAATATTATTTTACATCGTCATTTTTTTCGATTCGCGAAATCTTTTGGGTAAGTTTTTTTTTTTTTTTTTTTTTTTTTTTTATAAAACATTTTATTTGCCGAATGTTTCTTTTTTAAATACGAGGTCGATATCGCGGGGAAAATGGGGGGAGCGAAAAAAAAAAAAAAAAAAAAAAAAAAAATTTTTTTTAATAAGACATGATATAGAATTCGAATGAAAACGTTATGGAAAGAAAATTTTTATAAAATTTTAATGTTGTTTTAGAATATTCTAGAAAATGTTATTTACTAACAATTACAAAAAAAATGTATATATATATATATATATATATATATATATATATATATATATAGAAAACTTTTTAAAAATAATAAACCGTTACTACGGTTATGATAATTATTTAAAATTCGTTTTTTTTTTTTTCCGTTAAATTGTAAAAAATTTAATTTTGCGTTTTACTTGTAATTAATATTTTTTTTTTGGTTTTGATTTAAAATGGAAAAACTTTGAGAAATTATCAAAAAAAAACCGCAATAAATAATTTATTTTAAAGATGAAATCAATGGGAAAATAAAGCTGCGAATTCAAAAAAAAAAAAAAAAGAAAAAAATTTGCATTATTTTTATTTTTACCAATAAAACTACCACACTGAGTTATGGGGTGTATTTTAGTGCCTTATGAAGGGTAAAACTAGTTTTTGCCTTAGTTAAATCTTAACTCTTTTGTTAAAAATCTCTGGCAGGGGATAAAAAAAAAAAAAAAAATTTTTATAAAGATTTTATTTAAGGCAAGTTAAGTAAATAATTTTTTTTTTTTTTTTTACATATTTGAGGTTACAATACACGGTTGGTAGTCAAAGTTATAAGGCGAGTGAGTAAACTCGAATCGGACGGTTTTTATTTTTTAACACACAAAAAAAAAAAAAAAAAATTTATTTAGAAAGTGGTTGCTGGACCGTCAGGATGACGGTCATTTTTCTTAAGTGGTGTGCACCTCATGGTATTCAACTGGAGTGAGTTTGGTTAGGAAAATAAAGAGCCGGTGTTAAACCGGCAACAGACGTACAATACCGGTTTCGGTTACCGGTAAAAAAAATTTCCTTTTTTTTTGTTAAGAACTATGTAGAAATTTCAATATATATATATATTTTTCTAGAGTTTTTTCGCAAAAAAAAATCTAAATTTTTTTTGTTTATTATTATTGTATAAGTGTTTGATGATTTTGTTTTAATTTTCTTTGATTTTTTTTGTTTTTTGTTTGCAACTTTTTTATTTTTATTTTTTTTTGTATTTTAATTGTGAAACATTTTCGAAGAAAGTTTAAGGAAACAACGTTGTCGAGGGTTCAATAGAGTAAATCTTGATATTTAGGGTAAGCAATATACATTATTTACTTTCTTTTTTTTTTTTCATTTAATATATTTGGACGGATTAGTTTCAATATAAAAATATAAAATATTAAATAATTTGTACACTATATAAAATAAAATTGCTTCTTCGTTTTTTGCATAGTCTGTATAAATAATTACTTAATGTAAGTTTGTAAACATCTCTCGATTTTAAACTTTGAGACGTATAAATGTGTCGCATAGTTACTATAAATTATCTTGAACACATTTTTTTTTTTTTACTATTGTCAAAGCTTTCAAATAGCAATAAAAAACAGTTTTCAGTAGTTACTAACATTCGTGATAGTTTTAAACTACTTTAAAGAAATATAAAAAAAATATTGAGATTATTAAAAGATATGTACAGGGGCAAATAAAGGAAGCCTTGGCTAGGCGACATTTTAACATGTCAAATCTTGTTGCCGTGTCACTAACAATATTTTCAAATTCAGATTCCATAATTTGGCCATCATAATATGTAATTGGATCTTCAAACGGATATTCATATCCCTGTTTGCATTCGCATTTATAACCTCCTGTTTCGTATCCCCTACCCAAGATCGGAACACACTAAAAAAAAAAATTATATGTTCGTAAAGTAATTTTCTTAGATGTGAGGGTTTAAATTATAATTTTAACTTATGCTTTAACTACTTACGTAAGACGTTTTTTGGTCACATTTATGCGTTTCCTTAAATGCATTTGGAGTTGAATATTTGGAGGGACACTGATTGATATCTAATTGCAAAAGATCCATTGTGACTGTGACTACGCCTCTGAAAAATAATATTCGTACGTTAAAACTTTTAAAATTCTTCCATTCGAAAAAAATAAGAAAGATTCTTACTTAAATTCCAAGTCTGCTTTTAAACTATTCCATCCGAAGAAAGGAGCTGCGTATGTTATAACCCATTTAGGTACTTTTCCATCACAATCAAAATACGGTGAAGTCCAATACCCGTGATCGAGATTGGCAGCTCTGTAGGATGTCGGATAATGTTCGTACTTGATTTGATTTTCTCCTGTTTCGTTTTGCCTTATTTTTATTTTTAAATAAAACTTTTCAAGTGAATCAAAATTAGATGCCCATCTTTGCTTTAAGAATTGAAACCACGGTTTGTTAGTATAAATTTCATTTGATTTATTTAATCTTGCAAGATCCTCCATTTTAAAAATTCTTGTATTTAATTGTGTTTTATAAGCGTAAGGTGCAAAGTAGGTCCTGTTTGTAAATTTTTTTCTTTCCCAAAAAGTTCCCGCGGCCCAAATTTTTGTATCTCCCATGACCAACGCCAAAGTTTCCCCCATCATTTGATCTTCAGTTAAAGGACCATCGGCAACTCTTTTACCAGAAAAAACTTCTTTCGGATCGGAAATTTGTAGGAAACCACTTATAAAATTAGCCAGTCTCAATGCCATTTTAGCTTCGTTTTCATAATGCTCTTCAGCTCCGTAACTGTAGCTTCCTTGCAAAATTAAATCTTCTGGACGATACCTACAAAATATGTAATTAAATAACAAAAGGCAATCGTTTTATTTTTACTCTTTAAAATATCATTGAGTTTTGATACCTACTCTTTACAGTTTCTTTCATTTACGCCTAAAATAAATTTAAGAACTGAATGGATATTTATTTTGCTGACATGAATTGAGTTAGGACCGGTAAAATTAAAATCGGAAGCATTGTTGAAAGTACGATATTCGTAATATCGATCTAAATACTTTTCTCTTTGAAATTTGGTTGCTCTGTCCCATTGAGCCGGTAATTTATGAATCCCTTTTTAAAAAAAAAAAAACAATATATTACCAATAATTAATTTTAAAATTAAAGAAACTTAAAAAATTTTTATTGCTTACATCCAATTTTTAAACAATCGTATCCATTGTAATAATGTTCGGCAGAAGCTCGCTCAATAACTTCACCCAAAAATGGCCTCCTTACAACGTTAGGTAATCGATAGCCAGGCCGACACCTACACTGATACCCGCCTCTTCTAAAACCCCATCCATTAAGCGGTTCACATTCTGTGGTTTCTTTTTTACATCGTGCAGTGTCAGCAAAACGATTGGGACCATCATTTCCTGGACCACGAGGACACTGATTTATATCTATTCTTTCAAAATCCATTTCAAGAACTGATACCGCTGTGTACCTTTTAATTCATTATAATAATTTTAATAAAATTAAACAATAGTAGGATAGACTGAGATTAGAATGAATAAATTTTACACTAACGTAGGATATTCAATATGACGAAAAGTTGTATGCCTGGGATAAATATCTGCAACTGGAACCACTGCAGCAACTAACCACTTATTCGATCTGCCACAATCAAAATAAGGTCTTGTCCATTTAACGGGGCCAGGAACCTCGTCGGAACCTACGAGAAATTAATAATTTTTTATTATTATTATTTTTTCTTTTTTTTTAGATTCTATCGAAAATATAAGCAAACCTGGTGGGCCGTGGAAGGTAAAGGTCTCATTGGTGTTGTTGGCATAACGAATTGCAACTTGGTAAGTTGTTTTTGTGTCGTGTCTACCAGATACTTGATCAGGAAGCCATTTTTTGTACCTATTAACAATTATCAATTCCAATTTTATTAATTCTAACAATTACTCAAAAAAACTTAAGTCCAACTTTAGATAACTTTATTTTTCTTGGTTTAACTAAATCGGTCTAATGTTTAGTTAAAGCTTTTAAAATACTTTTAGTTTAGCCTTCTTCTATAATACATTAATTTTTTATATACAACCTTAATTAGCGTAAATTAATCAGATTATAAAAAATTAAATACAATATCATAATTCAAAACTAATTAGCATTTTGAATAATATGTCGAATTTAACATTCTATAAATATAACTTATTTATTAATATTTCAAAAAATATGAAATTAAAATATCTTATTAAATAGTTAATTTTAGGACTGAGCTGTGTTACTTTTTTAATTTATGCCTATGCAAGATTAATAATGTCAAAAATTTTTTAAATAATTTTTCTTATAATTATTTCAATTATAAAGTATAAAAATATTTAAAGCGCTCAAAAATAATATAAAATATTAGTAAATTTTAAATGAAAGCTAAAAAAAGAAAATTTTAAAAGTGATTAAATTGTAAAAAAAAAAAAAAAAAGCATTAAAAATTAGGGTCTTTTAAGTTCATATAAAAGAGCAACTAACACAAACTATTTATTCTTAAAAAGGTTAATTACAAAAAAAAATAAAAGTAAAAAAACGTGAATAAGTTTGTATGGTTGAAAAAAAAATAATAATAAAAGTAAAAAGGTTTCAAAAAAGTCAGGGTGCCTTTCCCCAACCCCTTGATTTTTTGGGAGAAAAAAAAAAATAATAAAAATACACTTGTTAGCAGTGATGGGTAGGCAACCCTCTAAGGTATCAACTATATTTCTGGAATCAAGTGTATTTTAATTGTGTTAAAAAGATACATAAACCCTCTAAGAAAGTTGGGTCAAGGGTTAAAAGGGGTGTATTTTTTGGGTAGTTTTAATAATTGCTCGCGATTTAAGGTAACTTTAAAGGTCAAAAAAAAAAGGGAAATTAAGAACCTCTACAAGGTTAATAGATCAATATTTCTTTAAATATTTCTCTTTGTCTTAAATTTACTTTAAAAAAATTTTTTTTTTGAAGTATCAAGAATGAATCGATTTGATTACATTTCTAAATATCTACAAATTAATAGTAAATCTAAATGATTAAAATATGTAAAAGTATAATCTAATGCTACTAATTAAGATTATATAAAATCTAAAATTTCAAATATGCGAGTAATGATTTTTATATAGATTCTTTGTAGAAATTACGATATTAAAAAATAAAAACAAATTACCATTCATTTGTTCTGTAAAAATCAGAAGTGTAATCCATGCTTGAAGTATCTGGAGGAAATGCACCCAAATCCTGTATTGTAAATGTGTTCAAAGTTGATATTCTCTCAAGATGAATAGGATCATTAAAATCATCTGCCCTGAGTCAAAAAAATAGTTTTTATTAATATTAAAGCTATGTTGATTTATTTATACATAAATTATATGTATAATACCTGTATGCTCGAGGTGCAAATTTTGGCATTGTTTTATTAAAAAATCCTCTGTAGGATGGTGTATAAGATGTATTTGGAGCAAAATAAATTGCAGAAGCATTTATGTGTGGGTTAGCAGATACATCTGCTACGGTGGATAAAATGTAATACATCATTCCTGGATCATAGGTATCATTTATCGCAGGCCTAATAAAACGTGATTGTAATATGTAACTCCAAAAAAAGCTTCTACTTAACGCCAAGTTATGCAAGTGTAGTAATGCTGTTCTATTAGGGAAAACAGGATTTATATTTATATCTTTTATGTCAGGTAAATGTGATACAGAGTCTTCTGGTAAAAATAAATCCCCTAAATGTTGAATAGGACAATTTTCCCAATTTACTTTTTCCATTTTGTATGTTACTTCATCAAAAGCATCTCTAGTTTGCACATTCATACTGTCCTCGGATGCCATTGCACAACAAAGTTAAAAGCACCAATATTAAACTGTACATTATAGTATTAAAAAAACAAACACCAAAAAAAAAACTTAATTTAAAAAAATCGATTGTTTTCGATTATAACATAAATTCAATGATCAAATCATTTCAACGGTAACAAGTGTCCTGACGTCATTGCCCTGCCCATTTAGTATTCACAATAAATTTCGTCCCGCGTAATTTTTTAGTTGTTGGCAACTCTGAAATCGGTTCAATTTTTCGGTAATTTACTAAATTATTTCAATAAAAAAATAAAATAACCATAATTTCGGTACTGTAAGTTCAATGATTTTTTATATTTAAAAGTTATTTTGTATACTTTTATTTTTCAATTTCTTGTTTGTAAATTATTATTGTAATTATTATTTTGCGCATCCGTAAACTTATAAAAGCAGTTTATGGTTAAAAACAGTTGATTTATTGAATACTGCTTAGCAAGTTTTTTTTTTTTTTTTTTTTAACTAGCCCTATGCAGGATCCGGAATTGCGATTTATTAACAGAATGAAAATTAAAATAATTCGCAGATTTTAAAAATCCTTTTTACCCTTTTTAGATATTCCGTTGACCTGTATAAAACAAACTAGTTTGGCCGGTATTCTGCAACTATTTTAAAAGTTCGTTTGATTTACCATTGATTTAATATCTGTGCATGTTAAAAAAAAAAAAAAATAGCTATTTAAAGTGGAACACGAGAAATGTATTTTTTTATATAATCTGTAACGTATATTCATATTGAAATTTTGCAAGTATTTTTTTTTTATTCTACTGTACATAAATTGAAGCAAAATTCAAGATCAAAAAGGGGTGAATAAATCGAGGACCATGAGTTGCATTGCCTTCATTGAGATTCTCCCCCTCGTTCAACTTCCTTTTCTTTATAACACTTATGCAGCATCCGACATCGAAAACTTGTTTTCAGAGTAGGAAATTTTTTTAACCGACCTTTTTAATATGACATTCTCACGATTTTTCTTTTGGTGGTAATGAACTGGTGAAAATTATTAAAATAAAATCATAACTCTTATTGCGCTGACAGTCCCTAACTTTTTATTGATAACTGCCACCCTCTTCCTAATATGCGATTTATCTTTCAGTTTATATATCTTCAGATGGATAGCTGTCATTTTGGATTTACAATATTAATATTTTTCTTTTAAAATTTAATTTTAAAAATTTGAAGATAAGTAATATTGATAATTAACGAAATGACAGTTTTCAATGATTAAGATGCTCTAAATGTTAACCGATAAGAACAAACGATATTTTTCCGTTATTAATTAAGATAAAAATCACAAGTTGTTGAACTTATATAAATGTAATTTTTTTTTTTTTTTTTGCGTAAGTGTAAGAAGTAAAATTTGCACAAAAATATAGCTTTTTGTAGTTTTTGGGGGGGAATGGAATGGAAAGGAAAAATGTAAACAAACGCTCTGTTATTTCTTCCTAATGTTAAAATGACCATAAAGAACTTGGGTTCGAGAATCCGGCCCTGCGCTTAATTATGAAACCCCGTATTGTCTCACGTTGACGTCTGCCGCCATTTCCCCTTCGTGAAGTGTAAAATAGAATAGAGGTACATATTTTTATATAAAAAACTTTGTTAATTAATTGTGAGTATGTAAATATATAAAAGTTGTTGACTTTGTCGTTAACTAAAAAAAAATAAGTCGTGTTATTGTTTATTTAATTACTTACAAACCACTGTATTAATCATTATTTTTATATCGTAAGTAATTTTCTGTGACCGGTGACCGGTTTAATTAGCCTTTTTTATATTATTTTTAATCCAATAACTCTTGCATTCAGCTTGTCATATTTGAAACAAACAAGCATTTTCACTGTAATTACTGATAACTATCTCTTATGTGTATTGTATGATTAGCAGTATATTATGCGTGGGCTCCATTGTGATAGCAGGTATATTTAAGGTTATTCCCCTTGTATTATTAAATTTAACATTAATTGATGCTCGAAATAATTTAAGCAAAACAATTGCACCATTTTAATAAACTTTTGTTTATGTTAAATTTTGTTCACCAATGTTTTATTATTATAATTGGCGCGCACACGTTTTTAACCACAATTCGCACATACCAATTCGTAAAAGCTTTTTAATATTTTGCGAGCCAAAATATTTTTTTATGAATAGATCTCCTTAAATTTTGCTTTCTTATATTGCAGTTCATGAAATGGCGGAGGGGAACGGGGAGTTATCAATAAAAGAGGAACATGATTTAGAGAGAACACTTGATTACCATAAGTTGATAGATTATGGACTTGACGCAAAGGTTGCTACCAAATTAGATGAGATTTATCAAACTGGTAAGTTTTTTATTTTATTTTATATATTTAATTTATAATAAAAACATTTAAATTTGAAAAAAAGCCTAAAAGGCATTAAAATACTTGGAAAATCTTTTAAAATAAATATTAATGTAACTTATCATTTGCCTCCAGGAAAACTTGCTCACATCGATTTGGATGACAGGGCTTTGGATGCTTTAAAAGAGTTTCAAGTAGAAGGTGCTCTTAATGTTTTGACACAGTTTTTGGAATCAAATTTAGAGCATGTTTCCAACAAATCTGCTTATCTATGTGGAGTTATGAAAACATATAGGCAAAAAAGCAGAGCTGGTACTACAGGTAGTGCCTTAACAGGTGGTCCAATAATAAAAGCTCCTGATGAGGAAAAAATTAAAGTTTGTTTTTTTTTTTTTTTTTTTTTTTTTTTTTTTTTTGTTTGTTTGTTTCATTTTGTAGAATTATTTAGAAATTAATAGTGTTATTAAGTTGTATTTATGCAAAATGATTTTAATTACAGGCTATATTAGACAGAACTGGATATACTTTAGATGTGACTACCGGTCAAAGAAAGTATGGTGGTCCTCCTCCTAATTGGGAAGGTCCTACTCCAGGCTCGGGTTGTGAGGTATAACTTAAAAAATTAGTAATTTCATTATTAATTTGTATTAAAATTAAAATTTTATTTTTTATTTAGTCTGTATTATAAAGATATAAACTTTTAATTTTTTTACAAACACAGGTTTTTTGTGGAAAAATTCCAAAAGATATGTACGAAGATGAGCTAATTCCATTGTTTGAAAAATGTGGATCAATCTGGGACTTGAGATTAATGATGGATCCCATGACAGGCCAGAACAGAGGCTATGCTTTTGTGACCTTTACCAGTAAAGAAGCTGCTCAAAATGCTGTTAGAGAGGTATGTTTTATGTTTTTCTTCGATTGTCTTTAAAAAAAAATTAATGAAAGGGTAGTCGTGTCAGGGTTGTTTAATAATTTTATGTTTTACATTTTATTTTATTTCTTTTTTTTCTTTTTATAAATTTTAATTGTAGCTCAAATAACTCGGCTAATTTTACTTTGTTGTAAATTACTTTACGTTGGTGTTTTTTAGAGAGAATTTTATAAATAATTAGTCAGTTTTCGATATAAAATTAACGAATTTTCCAAACTAAAATGGTTATTTCAATAACAACCGTTAAAAGTTGAAATTTCATAGACGTAAATAGAAAATTAAAAATCAAAAATGATATTTTTTAAATAATATTATGTTTTAAGAATTTTTAAAAATTAATTAACTAATAATGATTAAATTAAACTTATTAATCACAATGCAAACAGTTTATAAAAAAATGATAATAATTAACTTACAAATTCAATTTTCTTTAATTTATTTATTTATTTAAATTTATGTTTATACAGCTAGATAATCACGAAATGAAACCTGGAAAACCTTTGAAAGTTAACATTAGCGTACCGAACCTGCGACTCTTTGTCGGAAATATACCAAAATCTAAAGGCAAAGAGGAAATCATGGAAGAATTTAGTAAATTAGCAGGTAAAGCACTAGTTGATTACCTTTTTATTCATAGTAATTCCGTAAAACAACCTGTTTTGTGAACCTTCATCGAAAATATATTATGGTATTGTAGTTTAAGCCCTTATTAAAATTATTAAAAAAGTATGTAATGTTCTCAATAATTATTTTAAGTTGCTTGATCTTTTTTGCTTAACGGAAAATTCAGGATTTTAGGTTACTAAAGGTATGAAATCACTAATAATTTAAATTTTTCGTGTTTAAAATTAGTTAAGTAGTTGCGTACTGTTTATTTAAATATGATTGCTTTAAACCAATTGATAGTTTTTTTTTTTTTTTATTAAAAACTTTATTTTTCAGTCTTTAACATGTGTTTATAAGATTTTATGTGTAATTTAGAATTGAAAAAAAAAAAAAAAAAAAAAAAATTTTTTTGTGTTATGTAATGAAATATGGTTTATCATTAATTGATTGTTAGCCTGATGAGTTTTTTTTTTTTTTTTTTGAAAATTTTAAATAATGCATCTTGATTAATAAAATGTTACCCTTTTTACAACTTAAAAAAATTTGATTCATCAAATTAAATTGGGGATCAATGATTTTCCTTATAATTTGTGTTTAGTTTTCCCACAATTCGGTTCGTTTTTTATAATAATAATTAAAAGTAAATTTGATTTTTTTTTTTTTTTTTTTTGCAAAGGAAATAGTATAAAAACAATTTTTTTTCGAATAAATTGATTGAAATGTTTGCTGATAGGAAAAAGAAAAAAAAAATTTTGAATTTCGAGACATTTTTAATTTTACTATTTTATTTAACAGCTGGGTTAACAAAAGTGATCATATATAGCTCACCTGATGATAAGAAAAAAAATAGAGGTTTTTGTTTTTTGGAATATGAATCGCACAAAGCAGCATCCTTGGCCAAAAGACGTCTTGGTACAGGTCGTGTAAAAGTTTGGGGTTGCGACATAATTGTTGATTGGGCTGATCCGCAAGAAGAACCCGACGCCGAAACCATGTCAAAGGTTAATTTTCTTTTCTTTTTTTTTTGCTGGAATTTTTTTTTTTTTGAGGTTTATTATTTTTGATCGAAAGCGGTTTAAAGTAAAGTTATAATTTTTTTTTTTTTTAAAAAAAAAAAAAAAAGGTAAAAGTGTTATATGTGAGAAACCTGACGCAAGACTGTTCGGAAGAAAAGCTAAAAGAATCTTTTGAAGTTTATGGTAAAATCGACAGAGTAAAAAAAATTAAAGACTATGCATTTATACACTTTGAAGATAGAGATAATGCAATCAAAGCCCTCAATGAATTAAACGGTAAAGATTTGGCTGGAGCGTGTATTGAAGTGTCTCTTGCAAAACCCCCGTCCGATAAAAAGAAGAAAGAAGAGGTTTTAAGAGCAAGAGAAAGAAGAATGATGCAAATGATGCAGGGCAGGGGAGGGTAAGTTATCATTTTTTTATTTATTTATTTTTCATTTTAAAAAACAAAGTTTACAAATATTTATTTTATTAGCAGATCATCACCCAGTCATCCTGCCATGATGGGAAGTCCAATGGCATCTTTGCGTGGACCCGGAGCGGGTCCACGAGGTTCTGCTGGTGGTTTGAGATGCGCAGCCATGGGGAGGGGTGATTATGGTAAGTGATAATTAGAAGAAAAAAAAAAAAAAATTTTAGCCTATATGGCAAATTTAAAAAAAAAGAAAAGAAAACTGCGTGAAATAAAAAGTTTGCTATGGGCTTTCGTTTCTTTTTGTCTTTGCTGTTTTTTTTTTTTTTTTTTAACGCTTAACTTACTATTCGCATGTTAAAAAGAGTTATGGTTTGGGCTTATTCTAATCGCAGATATATGCCCCGAGGCCAAGGAAACATTCATATTATTTTTTAGCGATATATATATATAAAAAAGTAAGAAAATTACAAGCAAGAAAAACTTTATTCTTGTAGATTACGATTACGACTATTATGGTTACGGAGATTGTAGGGGCGGCTACAGTGATCCTTATTATGACGATTACTATCGATACGACGACTACTTTTATGATTTTACTCCGCCCCCACCGCCAGCTAGAGGGACCAGAAGCCGACAGGCTTTGTTGGTGGGTTCTCGAAAAATAAATTAACTATCTGTTTTATGTGATTTACCTATAAATGACTTATGAATGTCGCACTCGATGCAATCGGTTTGTAGACAATTTATACCATTTTAAAAAGCTTGTAATTTAGTTACAGTTTCATTTATAAAATTTATTTTTTTGTAGTTGGAAATTTTTATTTCCAATTTTTTTTTTTTTCTTGATCATTTTCAAGGCCAACTTATTTATTTTTTTCATTTGTATAAATTAGTTTTTTTCTGTTAAAACAACTTTTGTTTCATAGTTTTACGCTTTACTTTTCCTTATAAAAATTAAATTATTAATTTTTTTTATCTACATCCGACACATAAGCATTTATTTTAAATTATTTACAATATAATTTAGCCAATATGTTATTAACTCAAAATGTTGATATTCAATTTATTTATAAAAAAAATTTTTATATTTTATTGTAATCAATTTTTACATGATTAAACTATTAATAGAATTGCACGTAATATGCATACTGAGTGAGAAGCATGTATTTTTGGGCGTCATTCACTTTTAACTAATGTAAATAATAGCGAGGAGAATAAAAATAAAACAAAAAATTATAAAGGCGACAGTAATTAAATGTTCCAAATATTTTTTTTAATAATTTGCTTTTGATGAATTTTGCATGTGATTTTTCTGCTTTTGTTATCAGCATTTGCTTATCAACTTTATTTACTTTGTAATAATAACATAATAAAAAATTTGCTTAATTTTGATTAATTAGCGCTTTATACATATTTTCGTAAATATCTTCATCTGCATATAATTTATTATTACTTCTTTTTAGATTTCTATTAGTGAGTTTTCAATTAGAATATTGTTTAAACTTTTTTTAAAAAGTATTGCCTTCTTATTTGCATTTTTAATATTAAGCTAAATATTTTAGTTGACTTATGGGTTATCGAATACCTGCATTTTTTGGCTTGTTTCATACTAATATATAAAAAAAAAAAAAAATTATAAATCACATTTGCTTTACACATAAAAAAAAAAAAAAACCATCATCATGTTTACCTACCACCTAGTTCCACCTATTTTTAGGGACCTTCTGAATTGCATGCTTGTGACTGACCTCTTCCTCTTGAATTTAAAGAAGCCAAGGGACGCCGAAAAATCATCTCCTTACCTTCCTCGAACCGAAAACGATTTTGAACAGGTTTGTGTATATATCTATATATATATCCTATTTCCATTCCTTATTTTATTTTTTTTTTTTTTTTCCTTAAAATTTTCTTTTTTTTTTTTTTTGCATTGTTCGTTCGTGTCAAATTTTCGTGATTTTACTTATTGTTAAAATTAATTTTTTTAAATTTAAATAAAAATTTTTTTTTAGACTGGGCGTGGCCATGGAGCGGTGGCACGTGGGCAAGCAGGTGGGCGAACAGATGGGCCTCTTCCCCGTGGGCTGGCACGGGTGGCTCGCCCCGTAGTTTTAGAAGCCCGTGGGTTGGGTCGGGCCCTCGTCCAACATGGGCACCTGCCCGTCAAGGAAAATTCAGCAGGTAATACAAAAAAAAAAAAAATTCGATTTTTAATAAAAGCCATCGTTAAGGTGTTTTTCATTATTTAAAACTATTTTATTTTATTTTATTTATAGGTAAATGTAAAATCGGCGGAAGTCATCATTTGACTCCGAGGGGAATACAGCGTCGGATAAAGCAAAGTCAAAATAACATAATAAATCAACCAATTTCCACACAACATCCATTTTGGTTGTATATAAATGGAGGGTCCGGTTTTGATTATCGTGAAAACACTTATTCAACGAGGAGCTAACACGCCAGTTTTTTCTTACTTTCTTACTTTCATTATTTCTTTCTTTCTTTCAATTTTTTTTTTTTTCTTTTTTTTTTTATAACAACAACTGAAAGTTTTTTTTATAGCCGACGCTTAAGAATTTGAATGTTTTTTTTTTTTTTTTAAGCCGCTCAAAATATAAGCCAATCTACTACGTCCCGTGAAATTGTATTATTTTTTTTTTTTTCTTTTTGTTTTTTTTCGGTTCGAATGTAATTTTTTTTTTTTTTTTTTTTTTTTTAATTTTATAACTAACATCCTGGTTTTTTTTTTTTCTTTTGTGTAACTGAAACAGAAACTAATTAATTTTTTATTCGATTACACTTAGCCACTTGTGTAACTGCCTATATATAAATATTTCAAATTTTTTCAAGGCTCGTTTATTTCCTGTTTCATTTGTCAAAATTATTCCTTTGCCAATACATAAAATTGTTTTAATGAAAAATCTATTGAAATTTTTTATATACAAAACACATACATATATTTTTTTTTTTTATTTTTTATTTTATATAAATAATAATTTTTTTTATATTTAATAATAATATTTGTCGGTAGTAACTATATACATATATATATAAAACAAATTATTATTCACTGCCATTTTTATATTTTTTCCAGAAATTGTATTTTACCGGGGAATTTTCTTTTCTTTTTTTTTTTTACATTATTTTCGAAATAGAATAGTTAAATGAGACAGAAGCGGTGATTGATTGATTGATTGATTGATTATTCATTTGTTTTTTATAAGGGGAAAATAATAATAATAATTTGGTTTTTTTTTTTTTTTTGTTAAAAAGTTTTTTGTTCTCGCATCAATAGAATAAAACAAAAAAAAATTTTTTTTTTTTTATTTTTTCTTGCCCATATTTGCAAAAAAAAAAAAAAGAAAAAGAAAATGAAAATCGATGTAAAAAAAATTGTTATATTCTATTGATGCTTTTTATTTTTTATATTAATGAAATTATATTTAGAAAATTATTATTTAATTGTTTATAACGAATGGCAAATTTTCGATGGGGGAGGGAAGGGGGAAGGGAAATTCGGTCTTGAAATTTTTTTTAGTTTCTGAATGAAGAAGAATGTCAATTACGAACAGTTTTTCCTTTTTTTTTTTTTTTTTTTTTTTTTTTTTCAAAACATTTGGTGAAAACTGTTCGGAAAATTAAACTAATAAGCAGAAGATGTTTTTAAAATTTTTTTGTTGAGGCAAAGTATTATTATTATTATTTGATTATTATTTAGGGTAATAGAAAATAAGGGAAAAAAAAATAAAATAGAAAAAAAAAAAAGTTTAATTTTAAATATGACAATAAAAAAAATAAAGGGAAAAATTAGAGTGCTTGAAAAAGTTGTTTGTTTATTATTATTATTATTATTATTATTATTATGGTTATTATTATTATTATTATTATTAGTTTGTAAAAAAAAAAAATTACAATGATAAAGGTAAGTTTAGGTTGTTATTGTATCAAAATTGTATCACACGTTTACTTTTTAACTTTTTGTTACTGTTTAAATTTATCTGTGCTGTTATTATTATTATTATTATTATTATTATTATTATTATTATTATTGTCATAAAATTTCCTTTACCCCAACGGCGAATGGGTTTTTAAAATGGAAAGGAAAGAAAAAAAAAAAAAGGAAAAAGGAAAAAGTTAATTTTTTAATAATAAATAGAAAATGATTTAATGGATTTGAATTTTGCACTTTTATGTATAATTTTTTTTTTAAGTAAGTTGTGAAATCATGCAATGTTTCCGATTTTACACGAATTAAATAATAAATAAATAAATAAAATAAAAATAAATAAAAAAAAAATATAAAAAAATAAAATAAAAAAACAAATAAAAAAAAAATAATAAAAAAAATGTGGTCGCGGTTTTTTTTTTTTTTTCTTTTTTTTAATGTTTTTTTTTTTTTTTTTTATGTTGAGTTTCAGTTTTTTTTGGCTTTTGTTAAATTATTTATAAATATGATTGATTGATTAATAAGTTTTTTTTTTTTCACATAATTTTTTTTTTTTTTTATTTTTGATTTATTATTATTACGTTTTTTTTTTTTTTTTAATTTTGTTGACAGTTTTGTTTTTTGTGACTTGCTTATTTTGTTTAATTTATCAGTTTCAAATAACTGAAATATATTATTATTATTATTATTTTCTTTGCACCATAGTTAATCAACAATAATAATAATAATTTTTTTTTTCTTTTTTTTGTTTCCATTGGAATAAGTGTATTAGTGTGAAGTTATTATTATTATTATTATTTTTTATTTAAATATTTGCTGCCTGTTATGGTTTTTTTTCAAATAATACTT